GGGGGGGGGTGGAGTGTGACGCTCGAATCTTATTTCCGTTGCTTCTCGCTTCTTCCTTACGGGTACGTTCTGACGGATGTGATGAAGGAGAGGACATGGTTGGCGGCGAATGAGGTACCACAGGAAACTGTCAGACGTACGCCAGTAACGGTGCCACGAACTCAAAACAGACGTCGTGGTTGACCATCAACCATGCAAGCAGGGCATCAAAACTGGTTGACGTAGTGGTCGAACCGCTTCAAAACGGGAAGAAGCAGGGTGCCCAACCATCAAACATGCTTGCACACATTTATTTGGTCAAACCAACTAATCAAACAGCCATCACGGTAGCCGCCGAGCTAAACAATCAAGCAAGAGAACTCGCCTCGTTTCTAGACCTATTTGCTTGTTTGCTTAGTAGGCGAGTACTTACTACAAGCGTACGTGCATCGTGAGATATGTAGTGTTGGCCTCCCATGTGCACGCACGCACCCGCCCCTTCCCCCAAACAAATTAAAACAAACAACCTTCGGGCCCATGTTTGTTTGAATTTGTTTGTTGGCCACGCTGCAAGTGCGTTGATAAGAGGAAATGAATGGTGACCGGGGAGTCGTTTTACCAAATCCATCTCTTCCGAGAATGCTCCATTCACAGCTCTTCTCGAATTTCCAAGGTTTCCATGCTCTTTCTTTCCCAAACTGATACATGTACATTGCACGATGAGCAATGAGAAGCGCCAAATTCCGAGACCTACCTTTCGCGCGAACACACTTTGCCGTCATCAAACGAGGCGGCATATCGGAGCGCACTCGCCTCTGGGCGCACATGGATGACCGAGTCGGGCGCCAAAGCGCTTTCCGTTTGGAGGATCCGAGTACGCTATCGTCGTTAACTTCTACGCGGGAACCCTCGATAGAGATTCCATGGAGGCCGAAGCAGTCACGGCACGACGTTCAGCCGGCTTCCTGAGGCACCCAGATGGATGATACTGCTGATTATGCTGGAGTATCCAACGCGACCTGAGCGGATATTTATACTCGAGACATCTTCTCGAAAGTTCGGCCCGGTGCAAAAAAGAAAATTCAACCACAACACTATTTTTCGTGATGTAAGTTTAACGCCACGCTACCAAACATTCGCATTACTCCACCTGTAGTCTCACGGTATGGTACTAGACCCCTTTACCGAATGTTTCCCGGATTAGGGTCCACGGAAAGACATATACCGAAGTATTTTACCCGAGTCCACGGTCAGTCGATTCCGTGCCGGCGAACTCTAAGGAAAATGTCTTACGGTATGCTACTAGACCCCTTTACCCAATGCTTCACGGATTAGGGTCCACGATAAGATATATATATACCGAAGTATTTTACCGGATTCCACGGTCAGTCGATTCCGTGCCCGCGGACTCCAAGGAAAATTTTACTTACCGGCTTCCGTATCTTTGAAACAACCTATGTGCCGAGTTGCCCTGGCACCTGGTAGAAAGAAAAAAAAGGTCCGCACCGCAAACCAGTTTTATCTACTAAATACCCCACAGTTACACCTGGGGCTCGCGGTTGATCGGATTTCTAAGAGCAAGCGGGGGTGCATTGATAGTCAGGTTTACCTACTCGGGTACATCCTCGAGCCGTAAGCCACTAAGACTATAAATAAAACTACATACTCGAGCCACGAAAACTTCGAAGACATATAATACCCTGCTACTCCGTCCAGAACGGCTACCTTAGGAGTTGAGATGTGTTCGTCAAGCGTTATTGCAACGTGTAAGGTCTTTAAATTTTCTCCCGCATAGCTGAGTTCTGGCGAACTTAACTACGTCCGTAAGTTCAACAGTCCGACGGTGGATGAGATGAAAAGCAACACTAATCTAAGAAGGGTTTAGCGTGTCAATACGTAGGCTTCCGTCAATCCCCGAAGGGACAACCCATCAAAGTTCTTAGTTTCAAATAGGAAACTCCTCGAAGAGTAACAGTTAAACTTTCATCGTTACGCGGTACGTGGTTAGCCAAGCAACACCAGCACTCGGCATAGCAGCACATGTAATGTGACCAGATATATAATGTTAGAATAATAGAAAAACGGGTCGCGAAACGGGAGTGTGGGAGGAGGGTCTACGGTACTCGGATAGCAACTAAGTAACTCACGCGCGTTGAGTTCGAAATATAACCGGGCAATTCTCAACAAGGTATATAAGCATTCATTCGGAGCGCGAATACTATCTAAGGTTTAGTCGAACGGTAGAATGACTCACAGGCCGTAAAGAAGGTGGACACGCATGCCGTCAGCAGGGAAAACAAGGGGACCGTGCTGTCAATAGACGTTAAGAGCTAAAATAAAGGGTTTGAAATGGTGTGGTCGGAAAGTTTGGGAAACTGTGGGCTCGAAAAATAATTTTTAGAAAAACAGAATCGGTATGGTTTGAAGAA